TTTGCTCAGCAGATAGCTCTCGTGTGCGGCAGGCTTTAGATGTCGAAAACGAACAATGGGTACGAACTACGGTTAAAAGCTTGTTTTCACATATTTTTCACAGGGACAAATAAAATTTACATATTCCCTAAAATATACCTTGCACCGTAGTGATCATAACTACAACCTAAAAATAATATTCTTGTTTAATTTGTAAAGATTACATCAAGAAGGCAGCACCGAAATTGTCTACGAAACGTTGCACGTCGGAGAGTAGTTTTGTAAAAAAATGATTAACTTTAAGGTTCATTTCGCCTATATATGGTATACCTCAACATATCCTGATAATGGAAAGTCCTTCCTAAATGGATGCCCTTCAAAGCCATAATCTGTCAATATTCTCCTCAGGTCTGGATGGTTGGAGAAAAATATGCCATACATATCCCAAACCTAAAGTAACATACAAAGCAATATAAACTGGAACGGTCTGCGTCAGGGTAGGTAGAGACAATAGGGAGTTTCCGAATGTAAGACGGCGACGTCAGGACGACGGCTATCAATACAATGACATTAATCCTATAGTACAAAAGAAATGAATAATTAAACGTCTAGCAGGAGTTTTAGACGTCGTCCAAACTCTGTTGACAACGGCAAAATGAATATTTCCATGTCTTGTATAGAACGCTAGAAGTTCACGCCGTGACAGGTAGTTTCTCTAGCGGAGTTGAACAAAATTGCTTTGAAGGTTAAAGCTCTGTTTTACCCGTTCGAAACTATTTTAATTTTGTACGAAAAAAAATACAAGACAAAATTTCCATAGAATTATTTATTTGGAACAGTTTTTTTAGCCGTCGTCCAGACGTCGCCGTCTTACATTCGGAAACTCCCTAATAACACCAGAAAACTGCATATTGAACAACCTCGTTCCCAGGCTCTTTCTTCGGGAACGAGGTTGCAGATTGAAAGGGGTTCAACGACCTGAAAAATCAAGTAAAGGCCGTTCGTCGGAAAGTTAGTAGCATGGATTGGGAAAATACATGTGCTTTTATTCACTATTACAGTATTACACACGTAAAAACGCACAAGTTGTTACAAGTCTGCAAACAAGTTGTTACAAATCTGTTCACAATTGCAAGCTGTCAACAAGTTGCCTTCGCACTGCTTGTCCCCACTTCCCAGTTGTTGTAACAAGTTTGGAACAAGCTGTTAACAACTTGTAACAAGCTTGATGGCATTATTAGACTTGTTACAAGGTTGTTCTAACAAGTCTGATACTGATACAGTCATGATAAGCAAGAATGTTACAAGGTTGACGACACAAGGTTGTAACAATACTGCTATATCATGACTGTATCGGACTTGTTGGAACAACCTTTCATCAAGCCTGATAATATCAACAAGGTCGTTACAAGTTGTTAACAGCTTGTTCCAAACTTGTTGACAACTTAGGACAAGCAGTGCAAAGACAACTAGCTGACGGCTTGTTGGCAAACTTGCTACATGAGGTGAGATGTTTGCGTGTGTATAAGCTACACGCGTAAAAATCTCACATCTTGTAGCAAGTCTGACAACAAGCCGTCAGCAAGTTGTCTTCGCACTGCTTGTCCAAGTTGTCAACAAGTTTGGAACAAGCTGTTAACAACTTGTAACAACCTTGTTGATATTATCAAACTTGTTACAAGTTTGTTCCGACAAGTCCGATACAGTCATGATATAGCAGTATTG